GACACCTCAAAGGATGAATCAGCCCATCATCCTACAGCCCTCAAAGACCTGTATCAAAGTTGACTATGTTTGGGACAGGCCAGTAGTTATCAATGTGAGCGTAGCATGAAAGGCAAACTTGGTCATGATGTCAAAAACTGGTCATGTCATGTCAATCCTTCAGCCATATCCCCATATGAGCTTACAATTACGTCTTGAGATAGGACAGTAGGTATCAATATGAAAGACATGGAATGGCCTTTCCTAATGTGAAAGACAACTTGTGCATGATGTCAAATACTAATGCTGCAGCACTGGCAATATGATGGCAATCCTTCAACCTCATCCCCATAACATAGATAGGGCCAAGGACACCATAAACTACATGTCAACTACAAACTTTTTTAAATGAAAAAGCAGACACTACAAACTCCTCTAATAAAAAAGCGCAACACTACAAACTTTTGTAGTCTCAAAAAGCGGACACTACAAACTTTTCTAATGAAAAATCGCAACACTACAACTTTTGTAGTCTCAAAAAGTGGACACTCCAAACTTTTTTAATGAAAAAGCGCAACACCACAACTTTTGTAGTCTCAAAAACCGGACACTACAAACTTTTTTAATGAAAAAGCGCACACTACAAACTTTGTAGTCAAGATAACCTTTTGACTCTAACCCTAACTATGTAGTCTAAGTCCACGCTTTTGTAGTGTATTAGTAAACTTTGTAGTCTAATTTCGACTTTTGTAGTCTTTTATAGTGTATCAGTAAACTGTGTAGTCTAAGTCCGACTTTTTTGTAGTCTATATCTGATTCTTATAGTAGGGGATGCACCTTCCTTTTTTGGTCATTTTTCCCACAATACAATAATTGTAGCCCTTTTTTTTAGCTTTCTGAATATACTGAAATCATGTTATTTGGTTTTGTTTTCATAGAGAAAAACACAAAAAAAAAAAACACAATGCTTTTGAAATTCCTTTACAGTCATCCACCCCTTAATGATACACCACCCCCATTTGATACACTTTTGACTAGCAAATATCTCGCTCAATACTAGACTGAATTTTATGAAACAAGTTGTAACAGGTAGTACAAACTCATATCTACCACTGTACATGATTTGGATGCAATTGAGGCAGAATTGGCAAAGCTATGGAGCATACAAAATGGACTGTTTTTCGGAAATAGCCAAATACAGGCACACCCCTCAATGATACACCTATAATCTTGGTTTTTCTCTATGAAATGTGGGTCAAACATTCTGAAATTTGGTATGGTCATAGAAGGGCATTTATCTGAGATTTTCATGTAGTTTCTGTAGAGACAGGTTGTGCTCAAATTTGTTGAAGGTAATTTCTCATTTTGGGTGTATCATTAGCAGGTGGATGACTGTACCTCATATCTCCACAATGGGAGCACTTCAGAACATAATTCAAACAGATTCGGGAGGCTACAGTGTAGGGCTACAACTTTCGTTTTTTGACCATTTTTGGTAATTGGTCATGTGACCACCCTCCAGGGAAGCCCATTGCATGGACCCTAACATGTGGGATACATTTGAAAAATCGCAATGAAATGCCCAGGGATACATTTGAAAAATCGCAATGAAATGCCCAGGGTATCTATTAAAAAATCGCAATAAAATACCCAGGGTATCTATTGAAAAATCGCAATGAAATGCACCAGGTATCCATTGAAATTTTGCGATGAAATATCCAGGGATACATTTGAAAAATCACAATGAAATGCCCAGGGTATCTATTGAAAAATCGAAATGAAATGCCCAGGGTATCTATTGAAAAATCGAAATGAAATACCCAGGGTATCTATTGAAAAATCACAATGAAATGCGCCAGGTATCCATTGAAATTTTGCAATGAAATATCCAGGGATACATTTGAAAAATCGCAATGAAATGCCCAGGGTATCTATTGAAAAATCGAAATGAAATACCCAGGGTATCTATTGAAAAATCGCAATGAAATGCACCAGGTATCCATTGAAATTTTGCAATGAAATATCCAGGGCTGCATTTGAAATTTCGCAGAAAATGCGCTGGGTATCTATGGAAAATTCACTATGAAATACCCAGGCCTACATTTGAAATGCCTTTCAAAAAATCCTAAGCATTATAGATATGGCCTCTAGGCTTAAGTCTAAGTTATAGAAATGACCCTCTAGGCTTGGGTCTAGGTTATAGAAATAAAGTGGTAGCCACTAGTGTCAACTGGTCCCATCAGGGTTGTGGGATACCTCATGTGCAGACACAGATGTCACAGTAGTCACAACTGAGTTCAGTCAAACTCAATTTCATTTCTTCCCTGACAGCTCAACAATGCTCAAAGTCTGTGCTCTTTCCCTTTTTAACTCCTCCTTTACAACTTCAATGCCATCACTGTTCTGTATTCTGTGTTTCTCTTGATCTTTCGTCGTTAATTGTGCATCCACTTTTAGGAATTCTTCCTCCTCGCGTGAAAGAAACACATCAACTATCATCGGCCCAGGAATTTTGGGAAGTTTTGGCTGTTGCTATTAAGGTCCATGCCAACGGAATCTTGAGCATGCTTGGTAAGCAGATGAAAGATGGTGTTATACTTCCAGATCATCCTCAGTTCACCCGATGGAATAGGGATTCCCTGCTCCAGAGCGCAGTCACGTGCACGTACATACATGCATCACATGTAGTAGCTACTGGGGGCAATACCACCACTTACCCAGTCAGCTACATGCTGGGGAAGCCCTTCCGCCCTTTCCACTTGGTGATGAGAGTGTGTTTCGTGCTTTAACACGTTAGCTCTTGCTCTCTGCTTCATTTCTGTGCTCTAGTCTCATTCTGGGTGTCTCTACTGCCACCTCATCAACATTGTCGCGTCCTGTATCATCCCCCGTCCTACGCCATACATCTTACCGTCTCACTGTCTTCGTCTCCACGTCTATACCATCTACGTTGTGCCTTGTGACATCACTGCCTTCCGCCCTACGTCACCATGCCAGAAAAGAAGACTGCTTCAAAGAAGAAGCCTATCAGTCAGGCACCACCCATGGTAACGCCGCCAGCGCCCGCATCCGCATCCGCATCAAAACCAGCAGCAGCATCATCGCCACCACCACCAGTATTGGAAGAGAGCCTGGCAAAGCTCATCACTCTCACCACGTCATTGCCGGACTTGCCATTAGGCCTCATTTGGGTGCACGCCTTTAGGGAAGGGTCGAGGGATGGATTTCGAAGGGGAACAGAGCTTTTCAAGGACAAGGATGTGAAGCAGGCATTTCGTGATGGTGGAGATGAAGGTCAGATAATGGGAATACTGAATGAGAGGAAGGAATGGGAGGCAGCAGGCCATGGCTTCTGATGTTTTGACACAAAAACAGATTGCTTCTCTTGCGACGTAGGACTTCCCGAGGGACACACCTGCACTGCCAACAAGCTCGACGCTATGGTTCAGGTTGATTCTGTTGAGGCTCGCCCACCTTCTGTTGACGCTGCTATTCAGGTTTCCCCCTCACATCACACTTCCTCATCCCAGACCACTCTGCCTCTTCTTGTCAATGCTGAAGCTCAAGCCCAGCTTATGGATTTGCCCCCTGCTGCCACCACTGCTCCTACCTTGGATCCCCCAGCCCTTGATTGGTCTGACGCCACCTCCATACCTATTGTCCCCATATTCCCTAAAAACCAACCTCACCATGACCTTTCTGCCCTCTGCACCACCAACCCCAACCCCTTCAGCTCGTTAGCCCATCGGAATCGCTGTTCTCGATTGCCATTGGGAAAGTGTGACATTTCTGGGCCCCGGCCACCATTCCAACCACGTCGAACCCCACCAGTCTTCCCTGTCTTTCAAACTGTTCCTCATCAACACTTCATTCCGGTCTTGAACCTCACTGCACTGCCATTGCCATCAACCCCATTGAAGATTCCTATGGCTCTTGATTGGGAATCTGATCCACACCTCTCAGATTTGAGTCAAGCTTTGAAGGCACTTGGTTGGATTCATCGGTGATATTTCTTTACATTTCTATTGTGTCCATCACATCTTTTTCTTTCATTGCTTTGCTTACTTTTGGATTTCTACTTTACATCTTTCTTAGTCCTCTTAGATTTTTTCTTTCTTTTCAGCAGCTGGCGATGGGGACATCACCTTATGGGAAGGGGGCAGATGGAATAGGGATTCCCTGCTCCAGAGCACAGTCATGTGCACGTACATACATGCATCACATGTAGTAGCTACTGGGGGCAATACCACCACTTACCCAGTCAGCTACATGCTGGGGAAGCCCTTCTGCCCTTTCCACCGAGATCGCGAGTGGAGGACATAACCCACATGTACAGTAAATTGCTACATTAGTGCATGGATTTGGATCTTTGACGGCTCTAGGCATTTTGAAAAGATGTGGATTGGGGGAAGGTTAAAATGAATTGTCTAAAAAGTATCTCTGCACCAAAATCAGTACAACAGCTTGCAAGGTGAATATTTTATGTGTTGAGAAATTGTGTTAAGGGTTTTCAATCGGAAGTCAGGCAATGGAGCACGGCTGGGCATAATACGTATATGCAAGGCACAGCTCAGCGTGACAGCCATTTTGGAGTGCATGTGATAGCTCCCACAACCCCGATGGGACCAGTTGACTCAACCAGATGTTCGCAGAATGTTGGACTGCCCGCTGACCTGGCTGCAAGCCTCAGGGCTCTTAGCCTTGAGGCTCCTTCAGAAAACGCCGCTGAGGCTCTCACGTGCGGCCACAACTAAACGTGACGAGGTGATGGGTCCATCGCATCCATCGTGTTGGTGTCGCTTCTCCGTTTCCCTTCTGTACTTATCATGCCGCTCGCAAACATTCAGTTCCACATATATACAATTTATTTAGAGCATCAAACACACAAAATTTTCACTGCCACATCATGCTTGAGTGGTAGTTACTGGTGCTAATTGGTTGATGCTTAGCCAGTGCTTAGCTTGACTTTGTAAGTTCTTCTTTCCAATTTTTACTATGTATACATTTGTCTTAGAACAATGTAAGTTTATTCTTCGTGAAATCCGTCACTGTAGAAGGCTACAGCATTGACACTCTATTTGGTAAAGTGTTTGGTGGTGTTGATTCCCTCACTCCACATCATTTTCAGAAAATTTGGGGTATCTTTCACAAAAGTTGTCTGGAATTTGAAAGCTTCTCTTGTTTTTATTACTCACAGAAAATTATTTGAGACATTGGTTGTTCCACGAAAAAGTCTATGTAAGTTGTTGTTTAAATGGAGTCTGATGGGCTGGCGGGGTTTGCCGAATTCTTGATCGTTCTCAGTGTGGCCCATCAATGATTGCACAAACAAGTACAACAAGCCTTAGGGCTATTACAGTCATTTGCATACAGTGTCTTGCATAATGGGTGACTTCCCATAACATAAATCTATATAAATGAATAAATCTAACCCTTATCAGAGTTTGAAATGGGTACCCTGGCTTACGATTTAATCAAGCGAATAAACCGTAACACCAAACACAATAATAGATTTGATTAAGATCTGTAACTTGATCTACCCTCTGCACCGCGTTCAATGGACGAGATCACATACACATTGAGACAGCAGGAAGAGGAAGACAATGAAGATGCTCTTGAGCAAGAGCTTGAGCAGAGTGCTGCTCTTGCAGCTGTTGCGCTCATTGTTGTTGGGGCAGAGGAGTCATGCAGGTTGCGCATGGAACACAGACAACCAAGACAACTGTATTTATGTCAGCCGCAGCTTCTTCCAAATCCTTGTAAGGATACCCCATGGCAGGTGCTTTACCAAAGTCGCTCCGATCGTGCCTTCATCACCACAATGGGTTTTGGTGTGGATGCTTTTGAGTAGTGTTTGAAAGTTAGGTTAGTTAACCAGAAAATAACCGGAAAATAACCGGACCTAACCGCAACACTAACCTAACCGTGGTTAGGGTTAGTTGATTTCGAAAATGGAATAACCGGTTATTTTGCGGTTAAATAACCGGTTATAACCAGCCCTATTATACACCTTCAAAACGCACTTGAGAATGTCGAAAACGCTTAAAATTTGACTAAGTTATGGTCAAATCTCTAAAATATCACTCAAATGTGTAGACTTTCAAGGATAATTGCATAAATATGTCAATTCTTCACCGATTTTAGCGTTCTTGGGCTCATTTTAAAGCTAGAATATGCAGAAATAATATCTATCAAGATACATATGAGCATATTTGCCTTGTTATAACCAATTCTTTATTTTTTGGCCCTAACCGGTTAGTAACTGCAAATAACCGACCGTAACTGGTTAGTTGTGGTCCGGTTAGGTTATTTTAGGTTTCGGGACAAAGGCTAACCGGTCTCAGTCTCAGTTAGAGCCCCTGGGCACCCAATAACCGGACCTAACCAGACTTTCGAACACTACTTTTGAGCACATCATCAAATCTGGTTTTGCACGTATGTGGTACGAAAGACCCATTGATTGCACAGACACAATGACTGCAGGGAATCCTTGGCCCTCAGTATGATCGCTAGATGTGTGGGGTGCACTTGGCCTTGTTCTCCAATACTTTCCATTCCTCCACTAATTCCTACTGGATTCCGGAGGAATCTGACCAGAATCCACAGGAATCTGACTGGAATAGACAGAAAATCTCATTATTTGTATATTTGGCTCTTCTATTTTAAACATATGTTTGTACTTTACCCTCCCCCACATGCTCTGATCAGAGCTGTTCAGAGTTTCTATAATCAAAACACTAAGCTAGAGACTTAATCTGCACTACATCAACTCCTCAATACTCAAAAGTTCTTATAAAATTCACACTCTAGTCAAGTAATAGATCTCAATAGATTAAATTTGCATGTACTTTATTGATGACATAAAATCTACTTTACTACATACAGTGTATATCAAAAGGGACAAGGAAATGGGGAGGGA